AACTCTGCGGTGGGGCGTCGCGTATTTGGTAATGATTTGATAGAGAATTCGTTGTCCCATCGAATTCAGACTAATCGGCCTCGCTGCTTAGGATACGTATCGCGCATGCCCAGTCATCGTCTGCCGCGCCCAATTCGAAGTTGCGGCTCCAGGTTGGAAGAAACCGCTTGAAGGTCAACAGATGACGTTGAAAAGAGGTATGAAGAAATGCACAGAGCGATTAGGTACAATCGATGTCTCACGTCTTCCAGGTTGGGGTCCGAAAGACCCTACAACTGACTGGTTAGAGACACTGAATGATATGCCGACTAACCGACAGCAGTGGCTTTTATGTTGTCATTTCTTATCAGGTCAGAATGTTTGTACTTTATCATTTGATTTGTGCGGGTACCGTGCAACAGGCGCAGGATATGGGGAATATCGATGTATTCGGAATCATTGTACTACACTAAAAAATTTCAAGAAAACCAGATTCGAGGAACGACTAGCAGCGGATTCAGTATAAGCACCAAAGCGATTGTATGCCCACCTCAGGCGAAGAATCAGAGCAACGCCTGGTCTCCCGACTCTCACCAAAGATGGGACCCTAGTCGGAAAAGATAAGGACAAAGCGAAGATGATGGCATCACATTATGCCTCAGTGTACACCCCAGTCTCCAACACACTGGCACATCTACTGGACACTGACACTGCACTGAACTGGACCCCATTTACAATCTGAGAGGTGATCCTGGAGCTGTATTGACTAAAGGTTCACCAGTCACCTGGACCTGATGGTGTGCATCCGCTGATCCTGAAGGAGCTGGCAGATGAACCTGCAGCCCCACTATGCAACCTGTTCAATTTGCCATTCACTCAAGAGCGTTTACCGCGGCAATGGAAGGACGCTGTCATTGTTCCACTGCCCAAAGTTGGGGATAAGAGTGACCCTGGGAACTNCCGACCAGTCAGTCTTACTAGCGTTGTGATTAAAGAAATGAAGCGACTGGTGGCTGCACGGCTTCGGCAGCATTTGGTGTGCCACGATCACCTGTGCCACCAACAACACGGTTTCCCGTTGGGTCGCTCAAGCCTCTCAAACCTGCTACTTGTGCGTGAATGCTGGACCGAGGACAAGGCCAAAGAACGCGAGACGAACATCATCCTTGTGGACTTCAGCAAGGCCTTCGACAAGGTGCTGCACGGTCGGTAAACTGGATAAGTTGGAAAGTGTACAACGTGCTGCCACTAGACTCGTTGTTGGACTACGCGGGGCCAGCTATGAAGGTCGTCTACAGGCTACTGGTCCGTTCNCAGTACTTCCCTTTACGGACAGAGCACCGCACGCGGGGGCACTCTCTTACGTTGCGGAAACTTCAGTCAGTTGGTCTTCCGTTGGTCTACCAACTCCCGCGTAGGTCAACAAAACTCTGAAACTCCCTTCCAGCGGTTGTAGTGGAAGAGATGACAGACGCTGCTTTCAAACGGCGTCTGGATGAGCAGCTGAAGGGGCTATGGAGTAACGAACACTTGTGATCGGACCTTCGACCCAGTGGTGATGGGGCTTACACGGGCACCCTGCCCTCTGCCCTCAATCCTGAAGACTGAAGATTGTGAGCTTGGTAGCGATCAGTTAAGTTCACTTCACTGTACGACAATGATGATGTTGATGATGATGATGACTCGGANCGGACGATGATGATGATGACGATACTGATGCTGCTGATGATATTGAATATCACGATTTGTTGGAATGCCTTTGATACTGTTAGACCGAAACTGTACGGAACAGAGCGGGAACAATCGCATTCGCAGATCACGGACAGTCATTGTGGGACTAGCGGTTGGCATTGTCTGTGGGAAAAGTGGAAGCCAATTCGCGGTCGTTAGCTCAATTCAGAGCACGAGGTCACCAATCTGAGTGACTTCTAGATTACTTGAGTGACGTCACTTGGTCACTTTACTTAACCAGTCCCATTGAATATCGCCATGGTCTTTATCGAAATATCTATCTTTAGTTCAAACTCGGTACCTCAAATAATAAGAAAAACGGTATTTCACTGCCAGGACAGGTTATCCAGGAACACGAGAACAATATTATCGCTTCCTTCTCTTAGGCTGAATTCCTCCGAAGGATCTCTGACGGACTAACTATGTTATCTAATAATAATCGAAGTGGAGCAATGAACACCCATTTTGTCCTTAGAGGGACCCATCTGCAGTGTGCGGTTCAAACCCCGAACCAGATCATAGATGTTGAACTGCACGCAATCTCGACGGCCAACTCGTTCGACATGGGGTGATAAGAATTTGTTTTACCATGCGATTTCATAGGCACCAGAATCTTGTTGTGGACCTTATCTCCATCTGGTACTCCTTTTACGACCATGTGCAATAGTATCGTCAAAATGTGAGTGTAGGGTTTTTATTATAAACTGCTATTAAAAACGCCAATATTTCCAATTGCGTTGGGTGGTAGTCATTGAATAGTAAAGGGAAGTGACCGGGTATCAGTAGTGGAACGTTTCGACTTGAACATTTTATCGGCTTAATCCGAATGTTTGAGAGTGTAGTAACTCAGAGAGTTGACATTGGAAACCCAAGGTAGCAAGGAAAGTTACGTTCGACCCTCGCCTAGCGCGAATAAAATCGGTAACTATAAGGTTCTATGGACATGGCACGCGAATACACTTGTTGTTACCTTTTCAAGTCACGCTAGAGTATACTCGTGTGTCGATCCGTATGCGAACAAATGGCAAAAAGGATCTTTATTTAATTATCAAGTTTGACGAAGTGCGTTAGGCATCAACAATACCACGATTGTTTTGCAGCAAAGTGCAAATTACTTTCATGAAAATCAGTTCAAATAATAAATTTTATTCGAGTATAAAAAAGTATCACGCAATTGTCAAACTTCTGCTGTTTCGGCCTGGTTGGGTCACATCAGCTGTGTGCAAATTCATCGTCCCAACTGTGTGTGTTTATATCTAATGTAGGAGTAAACGTGACTGGTCCATTAAGGCTGAGTGTGAAAATACAACAATGTCTGTCAAGTTCAATCTGACCGAGTGGATAAGATGGGGATGGTGGGTAAAGGAGGGAACAAGGGCAATTCTGGAATTTTCCGTGGACTTTTATCAAGTGCAACGTGTTACGCCATGTTGCGTCATCACGACATGACTGAGGTCATGGTTCGGATCAACACGTAGGTTTGGTTGGGTCCAAGGCAACCGGAGTGCGGCAACGTTTTTCTTCTGTTTGCACAGTGGTGCATTCATGATTTTGATTGATACAGCTTCTACCGTTGTCATGTGACGTTTCCGATTTTACTTCGGTTTGTTTTGGCACACTTTGAAAAAATGACTTTGAATGCATCATAGTCTTGCTGGTGCGAGTTGGGCCACAATCGCACTGGTTATTGTTCTCTTCCAACCCGTGCTAAGCCAAGCCGGTTTATGATCTATGATCCTTTGTGAGAACTGCTTTATCGTTCGTCCTACATAACTTAACGAACATGTGTAAGTGAAGGAATGTATAATCATAGATGAGGAGAAGATGAACAGGTTATCCTTGAGATTTGTACAGATCTGTAAACATCATGCGAAGAGTGGCGACTGGATATGTTCGTGCAATAGCTTTCTCCAGACATCGTCTTAGTAGATCACTACTCGAAACTCCTTTGAACGGGAGCTGCAAGAATAGTTCTGTCTCTCTGGCCATGATTGGTTTTGGCAGTGTCGGCTTTTCTGTGGAGTTCTTCTCGATGAAACGTTCCGCGTATCCATTAGTCAGGATTGTAGATTTGATGAATCTAAGTTCTTCCTCCATTAGATCCAAATCATTCGAGTTCTAAAGGCCAGGCATTGGATTAACTTTCGTTTAAATTTGATTAGGACTATACTTTGAAAGTGAATGTATTGGCCGTTCGATGCTGTTTTTCGAAAAATTGCACGGCATAACTTTCCATTGGGTGGCCCCTTCTTCAGGTTAACTTCGAGGGAGTTGAATGTATCCTGATCCTGTTTGCATCGTAAAGCTGATTGACGAGGGAGCTCGGTTAAAACGGCAGAGGCTGTATCAATCAAAATCATGAATGCACCACTGTGCAAACAGAAGAAAAACGTTGCCGCACTCCGGTTGCCTTGGACCCAACCAAACCTACGTGTTGATCCGAACCATGACCTCAGTCATGTCGTGATGACGCAACATGGCGTAACACGTTGCACTTGATAAAAGTCCACGGAAAATTCCAGAATTGCCCTTGTTCCCTCCTTTACCCACCATCCCCATCTTATCCACTCGGTCAGATTGAACTTGACAGACATTGTTGTATTTTCACACTCAGCCTTAATGGACCAGTCACGTTTACTCCTACATTAGATATAAACACAAACACACAACTGTAAATGCCTGAAGACGAAATCATGAAAACAAGCTTGTTCACTATATTGTTTGTGTTTTGATATTCTTATGGAAATCTTCCATGAATTTGGATTATCATGAATTTCCTTTGGTGGGAATATTTGACCAAAGGTTTCTTTTCACACACACACACACACCCTCCCCTAGAAATAGTTGCCACAGTAACGGATACACTCCAGATTTCGGGTGCACTACATTTTAACTTGTTGAAACTTTGTCGGTGAATGCGTTCACCCAGGTGAATTCACTATTGGATCATTGCAGAGGTTTCGTTTGAACGGCCATCACGAACAGACTGCAAATTAACGTAATGTGTGTGTTTGTGTGTGTGTGTGTGTGTGTGTGTGTGTGTGTGAAGGATTGTGCATCTTTGTCACCTAACGAGCTACACACACAAGATGGCTTTTCTCAGATAAGAAAATTATGTTAGGCCTGGAATGTCAAGGGAGGAACGGGGAGGGGGTTAGAAATCAGAAAAAGTTCGGCTCCTTGGCTCTCCATGTTAGTTGATATCCTAATCAGTAAAACAGAAAGAGGAGAATAGTCCATCAGACCCAGATTGACCTTCATTTCACTGTATCTGCTACATTGTGGTTAGTTTGTTGCCAGGACCACAGGCTTTCTCATGCTTAGTGGCTGGGCCTTCTATAGAAGAGCCCGTCCACCAAACTGTAAGACAAGTGTTGTGTCTCCCACCCCACTGACCCATACTCTTTGGGTCTTCCAACTACAAGGCGATGTTTTAAAACTAAATGGTCCGGAATTGACTGAACTGGGAAGTTTCTCCTACCTGGGCAATCGTATGATAAATGACTGTCGGTAGCCGCAGACGCTTTTATGATTCATCGTGTAGCGCTGACAACACTGAAACGCATTTAGTATCAGTGTGAGGAGATATTGAAATGTATCTTGTGACACAGTGTGATCTGTTCTGCCTTAGGCTTGAACAGAAAGTGTCTGCGAGTACATGGGCCAGCATTTCGTTATCATATTGAATTCGGAGAAACCGATTTCACCGTTTTCGGTACCCTATTGTCTATCGCACCAAACCTTATTTCCAGTTGACATCACCAGCTTGATAAAATCACGTTGAGGTCAACCGACGAAATGGAGACAATGCATGAAGAAATGCAAAGAAAGCTTTGATCGAGTATGTGTCTCTGGTCTTCCAGTTTGCGGTCTCAAATACACTGAAACTGGTTGATTCGAGGCACAATGAAGAGTATGACAGGCTACCCTCAGCTATGGCATTCTCATTGAAAGGTGTTTTATCAAACGAAAATGCTCAATCAGACGGTAACTTCCTTTTGGGCGTCGACCACATAGCTTCACCTTCCGTTTTCTTCTCTTCAAGCAGATTCACTGCCTTCCATTTCGCCTGTTCGCCGAGCTTGTCACTGTGTTTGCAAACGTTTCATCATCAGCCGAGGTGGCATCATTAGTGCCTGTGAATAGACAGTGTTCTGCTTGTACCCGTTCGTTTATATATATATATATATATATATATATATGTGTGTGTGTGTGTGTTCTTCTCCACCGACTATTTTAGTCCCTTGTTCTCCCTGTGTTCGACTCGGTTCAGTGGAGAAGAACACATTTATAACGGGTATAAGCAGAACACTACCAATTCACAAGCACTGATGATGCCACCTCGACTGGTGATGATGAAACGTTTGCAAACAAAGTGGCAAGCTCGAAGAACAGGCGAAATGCAATCCAGTTCATCCGAGCTACGAGAAGCGATTTTCAATATTTTGTCAACAGATTCACTCCCTATTCAGCTTACGCTCATTTTGTGTACACTCTGAGCTTGATAATGATCTGGGAAGTCTGGCTCACTATAGTTCACTGAACAGTGATGATGCTGGTCTAGCAATAACTTCATCCTCGCACAATCATGGAATTTCTTTCTGCTCCTGGAAAACGTCTAATCGGTGTTTGATCGCCTGTCTAAGAATCGGTATGTATGTCACTATTAACCCTGTGATGACTATGAGTGGTTGAATTTGATATTTTGATGCGTAATTCAGAAAGGAGTAGTGCGAGCGTTTTGTTTTTGTTGTTATGTGCTGTGTTGTTGCTGTTGTTTTTGTTGTAATTGTGGCGGTGGTTTTTACTGCCCCGCTCTATTTACGGTCTGCGCGTTCCTGGACTATACAAAAGATCATTTGCGTTTCAGCTGTGTCAGGCTGAGTCCGGGTGATTGAATATGCTTTAATAGTCATAGACTGATGTCACGGCAGATCGGAATCAATCATGCATATAAATGACCGTGAAGCATTCGAAAAAACCCATGATATCATCACTTTAACCATGGTCATGAGACTTGAGAAGTCAAACATAAGTGTACCATTCATTCCCCCGTATCAGTCAATTTCGGTTTGTTTCAATATTGCAATAATACTCCCCAGGAAAATTCGAGTGATATATTGTATAAATGGAATTAAGTTAACAATCGTTCCGGTGTGTGTGTGTGTGCTGAGCACCGGTGTTTTGCTGCTAAGCGCATCCACATCCAAACACTGACGGGAACATGCGTTGAGCATTTTGAATGAAGAATGAATTTTGCCATCCCAATCTATTACACAAGGTATATCCTGGTTATTCAAAATAAGCTTTGAAAGGATATTTTAAAAAATCCTGAAAGGTCTAGTCAAATACCAACAATCAATGTTTCCAGGTAATATAAAGAATTGTTTGGAGCACACAACTATGAGATCACGTGAATCGAAGTGTTAGGGCCTCTTCAAAAGTGTGAATTAGTCAACTTAACCAAGTTTGGAATTCAATACTTTGTACTCAACCGCCGTGGGAACTCACTGAACCTGTTAACCTTAGTCAATGCACAACCTATATTACAATCAATCTTCTCAAGCTTATGCTTGAGCCAGTCGTCTTGTTGATCTTAGCACTTAGCCTCCAAGATTTGGACCGGATCAGAAATATGTTTAGAGTTGTAGCCTAATCTAACACAAAACAAAGCCAATTGTCTACTAGCTGGAGACCATGAAACACATAACTAAGCTTTTTCACTTCTTGTGTCGGTGACAGCAAGTCGGAACGGAGTGACATTTCTCGCCATTGGATGAATAATTTAAGAAGTTCATCTGTTTAGATGTGGAATCTCAAATCCGTTGTTTATTCGTGTCGCCGCAACTTATCAAATTTAGTCGTAAAAGTCAGAGACCAGGACAACCAAATTTCTGAGTGAAACCAGTTCTAAACTCGATCCGATCTCGCCAGTCTACCACAATAAACCTGGTAAAACGTAGCGCGTTGTCGTAATCTTGTTAATTAGAATGTTGAATGCGCTTCTGTTCGCACAAAACAAATGGTGATTTACTTCACGCAAGCATGGTAATGGGCCACTATGCTCCAGTGAATGACCTTCCCACCCACCCACCCCAAAAAAACCCGAGTTACTTTTCGCAATTGTACTGTCAGTATTCAGCTCTTAGTCCTGACGGTGATTCATATCAATTGTCACATGACTCCGGGGTTCCGATATGCTGCGTTTTGAATCAAATTCACTTCTCACCTCGCAGTCGAAGCTGAC